GAGAATACTACACAAGTATCTTACCCTTTTTCAAAACTTTTATTTTTTGTGTGCTTTGAAATATAGTATAAATCTATAATCTATCATAGTACAAGCGTTTTTTATACTGAAAGCATTGGAATCTAAAATGTTTGGACGCCACTGCTTTAGAGGCTGGGAGAGAAAGAAACTGAAGAGAAGCAGCTAGAGGGGTTGGAAGAAACAAGGGGTCCTGGCTTCACGAAGGAAAAGGCCGTTTATTTATTTATTGTTTAATTGCCAGAGGGCACGTGCACTGATCTGAGACAGGGAGACAGAGAGAGAGAGAGAAAGCAAGCATTCCCCATGGTCACACTGCAATTCCTTCTCTATTTCTCCATCCTCTTGGGTTTTTAGACACATGTGCACACATGCCCAGGCATATTTTTCAAGCTTCTGGGGCTGGGATTCGAACTCTGGTTGGCTATGTGGGATATGGCTCCCTTAAACACTAGGCTACAGGGCTGGGCAGAAGGCAAGGGATTTTTTTTTTTTTGAGAGAGAGATTTTTGCTGCAGAGACAGAAAGCAAGAAATCACCCCCCCAACGGGGAACAGCCACCCTGCGATCCCTCCTCCTCCATTTTCCATGTTGGGAATTTGGGTATGCATGCACATATACCTGGCTTGAGTTCCAAGCTACAAAGCTACAGAGTCCAGGACTTGAACCTCGGTCGACCATGTAGGAGTCCAGTGACTTAAGGCAAGGGATTTTTAAGGAGGGTGTCACCAGTATCACATGTGGGAAATTAAATAAATGAAGGGCTGAAAATTGCCTTTTGGATTTGATGAGTCATGTCAGTGGTAGTTGGGTCAGAAGCTATGAGTTAGGTAGTAAACTAAGATACAGAACTAGAGAAGGGTAGGGTGGTGCCTCTGAAGGGAAGCAAGGCCTGGTTCAGGTCAGTATCCCTTATTGGAAATGCTTGGAACCAGAAGTATTTTGGATTTTAGGGTTTTTTTTTGGGGGGGGGGGAGGTTTGCCATAGGGTGCGTGCGCTTGCCAGACAGAGACAGACAGAAAGTGAGAAATCAACCCCCAGGGAGGGGGATAGCCACACCGCAATCCCTTCTCCTCCATTCTCCTCTCGGGATCTTGGGCACACACGCACACGCGCCCGGTGTGAGTTTAAGCCACCGGGTCCGGGACTCGAACCGTGGTCAACTACATGGGAGTCCAGCGACATAGCCATTACGCCATCTCCGGTCCCTGGAATATTTGCATATACATAATGTGGTACCTTGGGGAGGGAACCCAAGTCTAAACATGAAATTTATTTACGTTTCATGTGGCCCTTATGCACATAGTGTGCAGGAAATTTTATACACTATTTCTGTATTGCAGTGTTTTGACTGCGACCAGTCACATGAGGTCCGGCGTGGAACGTTTCACTTGGGGCATCATGTTGGTGTTCAAAATGTTTTAGATTTTGGATTTTTGGATTAGAGATGCTCTTTATAGCTGGTGGAAGGTGGTAGGACCAAATGAGGTTCTTGGGTGGTTTTGCTTTTATTTATTTATTTTTTAATTTTATTTTTTTCATTTATTTTAAATTGACCAGAGAGAGACAAAGTGAGAAAGCAAGCCACCAGACCCAGGACTCGAACTGTGGTCGGCCATGTGAGCGTGTGCAGCGCCTTAACCACCACACCACCTGCTGGTCCCATGTTTTTACTTTTAGAATAGAAGGACCCCCAGCATATTTTTATGCTGAACTGAAAGAGTCAGTTGAGAGGGGGAAATGGGTAGTTCAGGGTGTGACTTCATTCACTCACTAACTCAACAAGTATTTATTGAGCCCAATGCGGCACTCCTGTTTTCAGCCCTGAGGCTGTTCTGTGAACAAGACACACCACAGTCTCTGCCTTCCTGGAGTTTATAATCTACAGGGACATCTTTTTATGCCTGCCGCCATATAGCCACCTAACTCCTGGGAGGTCACCTGTCCCACAATAGTAGCTTCATAAACACCGAATGAACAGCTTGGCAGGTGAGTGAATGAAGGTCCCTAAGAAGGCTGAATACAGGGTTGTCTTAGATTGGAGGAGGGCCCCACCAGCCTCATGTCCGAGGGAGAGGAGATGCACATAAGCCGCTTGTGCAGATAGTTCCGTGGTGGGAAGAGTAAGGAGGTAACGCAAGGAACTCCTCTGCCTGGTCTGCCGGTGAAGTTATCTGGTGAGATGGAGTGGGAAGTGCTCTCACAGGAAGGTGAAAGTTAGGAAGCCCATTTCAGTCCAGTACATGGAACAACTTTGCAAAGGACTGGAATGTTGGGACAGTGGATCTGATGGTCAGCAACAGCAGCAGTGCAGGTGCCCCGGTTACAGGTAGTACAGGATGAGTGGGTGGTTTTCTGACCCGAGGAAACTTGCAAAAAAAGCAGACCTCTGGACAAGGTGACCTTTCTCTGTATAGGAAGAGTCCGTGACTCTAAGCTAAAACTCTAGGCTCCCAAAGGACTGCCATGCAGGCATCAGAGTCAAATCTAACCACAACATGGAGGCCAAGTTGTCTAGTATAGCTTTGCTGGGGTGAGTGAGTAGGGCCGTGTCTCAAGACAAGGGTATCTGCAGATCAAAATATGATTCTTTGAATGAATATACTTGGAAAGTATAGGTCTCCTGCTACTCCATCTTCTTCAGCGTTTGCAACACTGTTTCTTTAGTGTACTGCGATGTCTGTGAGTTACAAACGACCATTCCATTCTGCCAATTGTTTTGTCTGCCTTTGGCGAGAACAATTTGGAAATTCCTGTTCTGGCAGCTGTGTTGAATCGAAACTCATAACTGTTCATGTTGTATCAGCACCATCCTGAGGCCTTTTATTGACTGTCAGTACTGTAACACCAAAACATTTAGTGTTGCTTCCAACATTATTATTATTTCCCTACCCGGTAAGAGACACTTTCCTTAGGTCCAGGGAATAACACTCATACTTCACCAAAGTCTAATTTTTCCACACTGGGTATGACTAAGATTTGTTTTTGGACTCGGAGCTAATATTTTCATAGGAATCCCCAAATTCCCAGTAGTTACTAGCCCCTGGAAGCTAGGCGTCACTGGGTTCATACAGTAAATAATGGTTGCTAAAGAGACAAGCACCTCACCTGGAGCTTCAGAGGGTTCTGAAATAGTCCCTTTATTCATATTCGTCATCTTTTCATCCCAAACCCCCAACCCTTAGATGAATTCACTTTATCTTTAAGAATACTTTTCTCCCTCTCTCGATGTGTCAACTGAAAAATCCTTTGTGCATTTTGTTTCTAAAGTCTGAGGTGTTTTTCTGTTTCAAAGAGTAGCACGTGCCCCTTTGACAGTCCTCATTGCACTAAGTTTGCCTATGGGGCACAGGAAGATGTCATCTCTCCTAAGGTAAACTAATTTGCACAAGCGTATTAGTGAAATACTAGAAACTATATGTATTTTCTTTATTGAGAGGTTGTTGTGGTTTTGTGTGTTTTGTTTGTTTTTGTTTTTTGTTTTTTTTTTTGTTTGCTGTAAGGCACGTGTGTTTGACAGAGACAGAAAGCAAGAAATCACCCCCCAGGGGGTATGGCCACGCTGCAATCCCTTCTCCTCCATTCTCCTCTTGGGATCTTGGGCACGCACGCACACGCGCCCGGCGTGAGTTTAAGCCACCAGGTCTAGGACTTGAACCACGGTCAACTACATGGGAGTCTAGCAACATAGCCATTATGCCAACTGCTGGTCCCCTATATGTACTTCTTTTTCCTAGGCAGGGTCTCACTTTCCAAGCCGTCCTGCCTCAGCCTCCCAGCTGAGACTCCAGGCACAGGTGACTCTTTTTCAGACAGGGTTTCACTATGTCTAGACAGGCCAGTCTCAAGCTTGCAGTCCTCCAGCTTCGGACTGCTTGAGTTGCTGGGATCACAGGCACATGCCACTGCACCAGGCACACGTCACCACAGCTAACCTTTAGGTTGGACCAGGAATCAAATCCGGGCCTCCCATATGGTCCCAGGCTGTGCACAGTAGAGCAGCAGCTAGCAGCATGTGCCACTAAGACTGGGCCTGAATTTGTGTTTTATAGAGAGATCAGTGGTAGAGAGAGAGATGCCAAGTGTCTTTTCTTTCTTTTTTGTCTGTGCCAGGCTTTTTGGTTTTCTAAAATTCTGAAAAAAATGCCAGGACCAGCAGATGGCATAATGGTTAGTTGTTGGACTCCATGTAGCAGACCACTGTTCGAGTCCCGGACCTGGTGGCTTAAACTCATGCCGGGCGCGTGTGCGTGCGTGCCCAAGATCCCGAGAGGAGAATGGAGGAGAAGAGATTGTGGTGTGGCCATCCTCCCTGCCGGGGGGGTTTCTCGCTTTCTATCTCTCTGGCTCTCTCTTTCTGGTGAGCACACAAACCCTATAGCAAAACCTCTCTTGGGGACCAGCAGTTAGCGTAATGGCTATGTTGCTGGACTCCCATGTAGTTGACCGCAGTTCGCATCCTGGACCCGGTGGCTTAAAACTCATGCTGGGCGCGTGTGCATGCCTGCCCAAGATCCCAAGAGGAGAATGGAGGAGAAGGGATTGTGGGGTTGATGTCTTGCTTTCTGTCTCTATGTCTCTCTCTGTCTGTCTGGCGAGCGCACGCGCCCTATAGCAAACACCTCTAAAAATAAATAAATAAATAAATAAATAAAACTCTGGGAAAATGCCATTGATTTCTAATTCTTGCCAAATTGCCACATGTCCCAGTTAAGGGCCATGTACAGGAGGGTATCTGGAGCAATAAGAAAATCCTATGTCATAGCTGTACCCTTGTCCCAGCAGAATGTACGGACTTAAATCCATAGAGTGACACTTTGAAATAGAATTTGTTAATGTTTACAATTCAACGTTTTATCCAATCATAATTTAGTATGTCAAGGCAGTGAATGGGGAAACATGCATTTAATAATGTTCAAGGTAGGTGCAAAAGATTTATGATGCTGATAATTCTTTTACTAAAAATCTGTTCTCTTCTCAGGTGTTTTGGGAAACGAGTTTAGTATATTAAGGTCACCAGGGTCCGTTGTCTTCCGAAATGGAAATTGGCCTATACCAGGAGAGCGAATTCCAGATCTGGCTGCATTGTCCATGGGCTTCTCTGTAAATGAAGTATGTGTTCTCTTTTTTTTTTTTTATTGTTTAGAGCTGCTCTATACACATTTTTGTTGATTTCTGCTAATAGCAGAAATAGGTACATTTGGTACAGATTACAAAAGCTGGGGCCAGCCGGTGGCGTGGTAGTTAAGGTAGCTGGATCTCATATGGCCAGCTATGCAGTTTCAGTGCCAGATATGGTGGCTTGAAAAACACTCCAGACACATGTGCTTATGTGCTCCAAATCCCAAGAGGAGAATGAAAGAGAAGGGATTGCGGTGTGGCCATCCACCTTTGGGGGCAATTTCTCCCTCCGTCCCCCACCACTTCTCTTTAGAGATCATAATCATATTAAGTTTTCACCCTTTGAATCCCGTTACAGTGGCTGAACAAATGGATTTTGAGGGAATATATTCAAACCATGCAGACATACACTTTTTTAAAAATTCAGTATAGGCCATCGATTTGCTGTGCTTGAAGAAATGTGTGTGCATCATGCCTGAGATCAGGGAAATAGTGTAGTCAGGTCGTCGTGTGGCAGCCTAGGACCTTGGTTTCCTAGGATGAAGCTGCAGCCTGTACTTAGCGATGATAGCAGAGGGGGCCTCGCTGCAGTTGGTGTGAGAGATCTGAAGCTAAGGCCTTAGAAGGAGATGCAGCATGCCGTGTCTGGCTATCATTATCTCCTCCCACTTTATACATTTGGTTCTTTTAATGTGTATCATGAATCACTCAGAACTTTCCTCCTAGAGCCTGAGCACCTTTGAAACTAGGGGCTTGGTGTGGGAACTGCTTTGCTACCAGATCTAAGGGTGTAGGTCCTGAGCTCTTCGCAGTCCCCTTGGCTAACCAAGGTGAACGTGACTGGTTATTTACTTTTTTTTTTTTCCCCTGGAGAGGTTTTTTTTGCTATTGGGCGCATGCACATGCCAGACAGACAGAGACAGAGAGACAGAAAGAGAAATCACCCCCCAATGGGGATGGCCACGCCGCAATCCCTTCTCCTCCATTCTCCTCTCGGGATCTTGGGCACGCACGCACACGCGCCCAGTGTGAATTTAAGCCGCTGGGTGTCCAGGACTTGAACTGCAGTCGACTACATGGCAGTCCAGCGACATAACCATTACACCAACTTCTGTTCCCCTGGTTATTTACATTTAAGGATGAAATTTTACCATGTGCAACTCAGCCCGTCTTCACCATATGCCATGGGCTAGCACTAGTATGAGTTCCTTTCAGTGGGAATTTTGTTTTATTTATAAAAAGCTTAATCTAGAGGCTGGCAGGTGGCATGGTAGTTAAGGGCACTGGACGCCCACATGGCTGACCACAGTTCAAGCCCTGGACCTGACGGCTTGTTTTTTCACTTTCCTTTCTCTCTCACTCTGTCCTCTGGTCAAATTAAAATAATAAATAGATGAACAAAGAAAGAAAGTTAAAATAATTCATTAAAAAATATAAATAAAAAAAGAGCTTAATCTAAAGAGAATGTTCTGTGACAGTCTCGCTTCGTCACTATGAAAGATAGAAGTGATTCCACATAAAAGGGCAAAAATGATGTGGAGAAGAAACTGACCAGAGCTAAATGAAGAGAATATTTTGCAATCTGGAATTCAAAAAGTACCTATGTTTTATTAATTTGCTTGCTTTTTTCCATAAAAAGCTTGAGATGACTTATTAGACTGTGGGGTTTTTTTCCCATAGTTACAGTGTTTTTAGTTATGACATAGGATGCATTTGTTTGCCAGAGAGGGACAGAGAGAGACATAGGGCGAGTGAGAAATCACCCCGTATGGGAGATGCCCAGGCCACAGTACCTTCTCCGTTTTTCCTTTCAGAATTTTGGGCACATGCACACACATACCCAGTGTGTTTCTCAAGCCTCTGGCTCCAGGACTCGAACCTCATTGGGAGCCAGCTACCCCAACCACCATTGCCACCGGCTGGCCATAGACTGTGTTTAGAGCTGTAGAATTTTAAGAAAATGAAGAAGGTAGAAATTAGTATCTCTGATCGGATTACAACTGCCGCCTTAAATGAAATGTTTCCTTTCCCTGGAAAATGTTTCTTGCCAGTGTCATCTCAGCACCCATTAACTCAGCTTATTAGCTGTTATTCGGGAGGTGGTTTCCCAAGTTGATAGTGACCATTTCCTGTGTTTTACACATTTAGGACCTTTCTTGGCCAGGACTCGCAGTGGGTAACCTATTCCATCGTCCTCGGGCTACGGTTATGGTGATGGTGAAGGGAGTGGACAAACTGGCTCTCCCCCCAGGCAGTGTCATCTCGTACCCTTTGGAGAATGTGAGTATTTAATAGAGAAATTAAAGGGATACATTTTTAATTGTTGTCTTGTCAGCTCTTAGCATTATGAATTGTATTCCAAGCACACTTTTCTTACCCTTTTTTTTGATGCACAATTTAAGGGACAATTTCTTTCAAAAACATGATTTCTTTTATATTGTGGTTATAATCTTATTGAGATCTGGCTATTCTCCGCGGACAAGAGAGCTTTCTAACATAAGAGGAAAATTGCACCACTTTGAATAATTGGAGACATGGAAAGGAGTGTTACCGAAAGAGAAACCAGTTGAGGGTGTATCCTGCTATTTACTTTCTTTCCTTTTTTGTTTTCCAAAGAATTATGTTATTTAACTTTATTTATTTACTTATTTGAATTGGACCAGAGATGGACAGAGTCGGGGGTAGGGAGAGTGAGAAAGCTAGTTGCCAGGTGTGGGACTCGAACCGCGGTCGGCCAATGTGGGAGTCCAGTACCCTTAACCACCATGTCCCCTGCCAGCCCCCCTGCTGACATTTTCTCTGGCATTGCTTGTCACTTTCCCTTCAGAACTCTACCTCTGTGTGTGTGTCTGGAGGCTGGAGGCTACTTGCTGGCTCACTTCTTCCTCCACTGGCTTTTAAAGCAGTGTGGGTGACTGTGCTGATTTAAGGGGCCCTCCTACTGCAGGTATAGAGCAGTGCTGGAGAGAAGGTCATGAAATCATTTTTATTTTCAGCCCAGCACTGTAATCAGTAGAGACTGCAAAAGAG